TATATTAGGATCCATATAGAAGTCACTACGACTCCCTAGGATTCTAGCGAAAGTCACTGTGACTCCCTAGGATTCTAGTGAAAGACACTACGACATACTATGATCCATATAGAAGTCACTGTGACTCCCTAGGTCTCTAGTGAAAGTCACTGTGACTTCCTATGACCATATGAGAAGAGCACAGTCACACACTAGAACTCCTATGAAAGTTACTGTGACTCCCTAGAACTCAAGTGAAAGTCAACATGACTCCCTAGGACCCCAATTAATGACACTGTGACTAAGACACCAACAAAAAGTGTTGATTGTTACGTAATTCCTTGAATCGCAAAATTCATCAATAGTAGTCTCTCTCACAAAATCCAAAAAAAAATGTTTTCAGATAATTATACAACTGATTGGTCATTGCATTCATATATTGCACTAGGGCGGATTCGTCGTTGGGTTCTGCCTGGTAACTTTGGCCACAGTTTGAAAGTTTTCGGAATAATCTCCCGACATGCTTCACGAAATTTCTTGATCCTCCAGCAATAGATAATTGGATTAAATGCAGAATTCAAGTAGCTTAACCACAGGATTATTGTTTCCAGTAAGTAGTTTTGTCCATAATTGTCCCCAAATAGCACAATTAGATGGGTGATTGCGTAAGGAACCCAACATATCACAAATACTATAAATAACAGTAGAATAGTGGTAAATGCTCGAGTTTTGAAGCTCATGTCAACGTTCACACGGGCGGGTCTTGTAATCCCTGTTAGGCCTAGCTTATTAGCCTGGCTTACACTCAGTGATTCTGGGTGGTTTTGCACACGGCACGAATTTCTTCGTACGGTGTTTAAAATACAAAGGTACGAATAAGACATTAGTATGCAAGGCAGGTAAAATAGGCAGAGTAGCTGAATGATTGCATAAATAGCATCAGCGGCGTTGTCTGGTCGTTCAAGTAAACACTGTGCACTTCCTCGAACAAAGACATATCCAGACCACCCAAATATGGGAGGTATGCTAATGAGGCAACTGAAAATCCAGGAAGTGCCGATCATAATTCTCGCACGGTATGGATTCAATTTATCTTTTCGTCGCACAATTATAAAATACCGATCAATGCTTATCGTTGCTAATATGTAAATAGCCTCCATACAAAACAAGACATGAAGAAATGCAGAAATCTGGCACATCACTTTTCCAAACACCCAATCGGTGGTAAATATCGTCACTAAAGCAAACGGCATGCACGTAATAGCGATCAGAATGTCAGCAAATGCAAGGTTCGCTAGCAGCAGATTTATCGATGAACGCATGGCAGGCTTCTGATACACTATTAGACACACGATGCTGTTCCCTAGCACGTTCACAGTAATCATCAAAATCATGATCGCAGCCAACGGCACAACTGCTGATAACGGAAGTCCGGGATAAACATCAACCTCCTCCAACGATGAGACATTCGTAGAATTGACTACAACTGTTGGCATAAACTTTGTGGTTTTCAGTATACTCGTAACTCCTGCCATACTTTGTCGGTGACACAAATTCAGCGATTTCTGGAACAAATCACTTTTATTCTCACAGAAGATAGCGACGCAGGTGTAAACCGGAACGCTTTGGAACCAATGTAAACAGTAATAAGGCAAATCCACAAGCTGCTTCAGGGCATGCAAACTTCCAATATGATGGTCAATGAGAACACAATATCATTGACGTCAAACCAGCACAACTCATTATGCTTTCTATGTAAATATATGCACAACTGATTTCCTCGATTTAAAACTGGTGCATAAAATATAGGACATGCACAACTGTACTCTGCCACAACAAACAAACATCTGAATAGATGAACATCGGATATTAACTAGGAATTAAACAGTATCCAGTGTAATGAAATGCATCTTAAATGCTAATCAATTGAGCTTATTGTTGATCAGCAGCTGATATCTTCAATGTTTTCATGTTTCATTAGGCCCGTGTAATCTATACGTCTTTTAATCGGATTAATGGAAGTTCAGCGGCATGGAAGAAACGGAAATTTGTCTGTAAAAAAAGAAAAGAAAATATTTGTTATTAACTTTAAACTAAATTTGTTTGCATAATTTTATTTCTTGTTAGGGGATGAGTTTGGTGTGTACGTGTGTCTGTCTGTTTGTTTGTGTAAACAAAATCTCAAAACCTCTGAGCGGACTTTTATTGAATTTGGTACATAGCTTGGGGTATTGCGCATACATGATTTGTTTTGGGGCACTGTCCGTGCATAATTGAGTGGCTAATTTGTACATTACTAAGTTCTAATTGTGTAAGCAAAATCAGGAAAATGTCAGAGTCGATTTTCATCAAATTTGGAACCTTAGGTTTGGGGAAATTTGCAGCCATAATTAGTTTGGGGCACTATTTGTGCATATTGAGTAGCTAATTTGCATATCAATTATCACATTTTATATACACAAAATGATCCAGGTTATTAGCCAAGAATTGCTTATCAAATATATACTAAAATAATAAATTTTGGCATTAAATTTTACAAAACTGTTAAAAAACAAAGAAATCAATATATTTGCATATACTGCACAATATTTTGTATATAAACATAATATATGAAAAATGACTTAAATATTTGGATTCAATACTTGTTGGTAAAAAAGAGAAACCCCCCCCCCCTCCCCCTATCCCCATCCTATAATATTTGTCTGCACATCTCTATGTGCATAGTAAAATCAGACTTTTTTTTTACATCCTACAATTGAGCACAACATCATGAAAAGATCACATGCATATACCCTGAGGTGAATCTACCTCATAAACTGGAATAAACGGAACTACATGTAAAGCAAATCTCTGGAGTGTTTTTTGTGGAAATATCACCAGCCTTGAACCAACGACATAAAAGTATGTCTATACGTTTGAAGTACTGCCAAGGAGAGGCAGGTAGTGGCAGTGATGACGACAATCATTAACATTCTGACAAATTTCACAGCCGGTGTTAAATGAGACCATTAGTGAATGTCGTTTACAATTTACCTTCAAAGATAACTAAGGGTTGTTTAAAAAAAAAGCGTAATTTACCCTCAGGAATACCCTTTGTGTTATTGGAGGAAACATATCACGAACAACTAAAAGCATCCTGCCCTATAAATCCACTAACATATTGTAGTTATTCGAGCAGTTACATTATGATGGCTATTAACCTAGATATGTTTGGAATGACATTTAAAGGGTGAGCAGTCACGGACAGTGAGAGAAAATGAAGACAGAAAATGTCTTTACTATACGAAAGACCAAATCATGGATGAATGCCATTTCAAGCTAAATTGTAGTCTTTACAATATAACTTCAGAATGGAATTTCGCCAGGTTTTTTGAATTGAAAAACAACATATAAAACGGATTTAGAAAATCTCATCAGCATCATGAAAACGAATGATAATTACAGTTTAATGAATCTCAATAAATACATTTTCAAGTGTTTCACTTAAAGAAGTGAAACTACTACTAAATTCATTGTATTTGTGTACATACAAATACTCACCCAAACAGAAATAAACTTACAATTTTAGAGACTCAAGTTTCTGCATTGTCAACTGAGGAGAAGCAAAATTTCTATAAACCAATATTTTTTTTTTTCACCAATAATATAAGATATTGAAAGTATCTTTGGTATTGAAGCATGACATTTCATAAATATTGTTGCGCATCATGTTCTATTGTCAAGCTCTCATGTTCTGGGCAAGGGCAGCCATTGGAAATTGACAGACATAGAATAGATTGGCCATCATGGTCATGTGTGTACATGATTTGATCAACAAATCAGTGAAAATATTTCACATCACATGAAATAAGATTATGCATAATTTGCTCATCCAATAAAAGAGCATATAGACAAAATATTGCATTTTTTGTATATTTTTTATATAACTCACTTTGATTATAGACACATCTCAGCCATTTACGCAAGCACATGAGTTATCAATTGAATGATCCAAAAAATTGCTGTTTTCATGAAAACTGGATTTCTCTAAATATCTAATCGATTGGTACGTCAAGAGTAATTGAGAAATGCATAACCATAATTGTTTGAGTTATAATTGAAGAACTAATTTAGGAGTCATTATTTCCATGGCAACAGGTTCCACATCTCTACCAAAATCTAACTGAATGGCTCTTGTGTCCAGGGCAGCCCCCCCCCCCCAATTTTGTGAATCCATACATAACTTTGTTTTTGAAATGAATGTTTCTATGCCAACTGGATTCTTATTTCTACCCAATTCGTCTTTGAGTCATGGCACTCCTCCTGACAATTATATTTGAATCAATCCACAAATTTTGGAGTTATATGAAAACACATTTCGCAAGTTGTTGTTTCCATGGCAACTAGATCCTCATCTCTAACCAAATCTAATCAATTGGTCTTTGAGTCATGGGCACCCCTCCTGAAAATGTTATTAGAATCAATCCATTAAGTTTGGAGTCATTGCAAAAATTGTTGTTTCCATGGCAACGAGATCAACATTTCTACAAAAAATCTAATCATTTGGTTTGTAATGCAATGCATTCTGATTTCATGCACAATTTTTTCATAACTTTTTGAATTGTCCTGCTCTGTCCTACTCTGTCAATAACATAATTACTATAGATAAATGAAGTCTAAATGGCTGAGGGCCTTAAATACATTGTATAAACATGTACAGTATAGACCAAGGATACCGTAACAGTCAGTTTGCCCTGCTTTCAAAGCCATCATGTCTTTAACTTGTCTCATATCAGTAACTCAGATAAACGACAAACAACAAATTGAAATTATTGGTGATAATGGTTCCCACTTCAAAAATTATGAAAAGTTGAAGCCAGATGAAAGACAGCTTGGAAGTCAAGTTACACTCAACCCTTTGAGCATCAAAGACAAATTCAGGCACCCGCAACAAATTTTCCATATAAAATGTTGCGAAATCTAGAAATAATGCCATATTTTGTCTGTTTGGTTCAAATTTAAGATTGAATTCAGTGAAAATTACAGAAAACGTGAACAAATTTCCTCAAATTCAAGTGAAAAAAAAGGTGCTCAAGGGGATAACTGTACTGTACTAGCTGTTACCTCCTGCCTAGCAACACTTACAGCTTACCGCTTTTGTTAAAATGGCAGAAAAATGTTGATCAAGTTTACATATTGTACAATTTGATGTTATGCGATCGTTGAAAAAATAAACTTTAAAATGCATACATGTATAGTATATAGCAATTAATTTCATAACATTCGAAAGTCAGAGAGATTACATCATGCAGCTGCAGGTGGGTACCGGTAATCCAATTACGCCAGAATCTTCCGACATCACACACATTTTCGTTATCCACTATATAATTTGTAAAATCTGAATATAACGAAATTTGTCGGTGATTGTTGTGTATGTATGTAGTATTGTATATGATACCCCACCTGTGTAGCGCAGTAAACCTTGAACTCAGTACACCTGTGAATCACTGTCACATCCTGTAATTATACAGGTAGAACAGACAGATAGTGTAAAACACAGCACCATGTATGAATTCCATTCCAATTACCGGGAATTTTTTTATATCCAGTAGCAGTTTACAAAACACATGCTGGGTTATGAGAATTGGGACAATACTTTGAGGGGGTGGATGAGAAATCCAATTCATTTGCATGCTACCCTAACACATCCACATAGGGCATTTCCTTATGTATCTAACCCCCCCTATTTAATGTTGATTTCTGACATCGCATACCGGTAAGTATATTGCAGAAATGTCATTACAAATTTATAGATTTGCAGCCTCTAAGCTAAATTCCTGAATGTGTGTAAAGTTGCGTATAACGACTACACATGAATTTATATGGTATGAAACTAAATAACATGGAGTGCAGATATAAAGTACAATGACCCAATTTATGATACTAGAGAAGAGACATTTAATTGCATGCTATGTGTAATATCATCTACATGGTTTTTACGCAACTCGTTATTATACAGTTATTGCATTATATGTCATGTATTCATCGCAATAGGATCTAGGCTTAGTTATCACTTCTCCATCGGCCAACGTTCACATTTGAGTCGAGCATTTATTGTTTTTCGATCACGCTTGCATTGCATGTTTACTTACGTCATACATCTTTATCGACGCAGTAGTGACACATACTTACATGGAAATATGAACATCATTTGCCACATGACTAATGAGTGTCTATGTGAGATAATTAAAGAACTGCATGATCTGAATAAGTGAAATCATCACGGCTGAAGCCATCTATTTTATCCTTATTTACATCCTGCATTAAATATACTGTGTGATACTGATGCCATAAATGTCACATCCAAACAGCTTTAACTTCTGTATGAAATGAACAATTCTGAGAGAAGTCCACATGTAGTATCTATATATGTAATATCAAAGCAATCGGAGTTGCGGTTTTTAACAAGAAGTCGAAAATCTCACTTTTTAGCAAAAATTACAAAAATATTTACCAAAATTAGAGAATTGAAGATATCATTATGAAATGAACAAAT